ATGGAATCATCAGTAAAGAAATCAAAAGAAGTGCTACATTGGGGAAAATCTGCTGTCAAGGACCTCTCCAAGGTGTTAAGGACAATAATGTCAATTTAAAGATTAAGGTGCACCTGGATTCAAACAATTGTCTTTTCAATTACTTGCTAAGCATCTGAAAGTTAGACAGTTACTAAGGATAGCAGTATTGGTGCCTTTGAATTGCGTTGTTGGAGAAAAAAAGAAACAAACAAAAAGTCCTAGGGATGGTGCAGTTTCCCGTTTTGGAGGCATGGATGAAGAAGCTTTGTCTCATGTATTTTGGGCATGTCCTTAGGAGGGACCAGTCCTTGGAAAAGGACATCATGCTTGGAAAGGTGGAGGATCAGCTAAAGAGCAGAAGACTCTCAAGGAGATGGACTGACACAGTGACTGCAGCATTGAGTCCAAGTATATCAGAGATGATGAGGATGGAACAGGAGAGGGCAGGGTTTAGATCCATTGTTTGTTCATCATCGTTGCTTTGAATCCTAGTTGACTTGATAGCACCAAACAAGAACTTATGCAAATACTATGTCATTTTATATGAGCCTTAGGCATGCTTAGATTATGGTATCTGAGGATATCTTGGAACCACTCCACTGTGGATTCAGAGGGAAGACTGTACATAGATTCTTGCATGTGGAGAAGATATCTGGAAGAACATACATGCAATTTTTAACAAAGACTTTTGTGTTTAGGATTAAGAAGAGTAATACACTGTAAAACATAATTCTGTTTGTATTGTTTGAATAGTTCACTGAATTATTAACTGTAAAATTACTGTGAAAGAAATAGAGGATCGAAGTAACAGTCAGTGATTTGGAATCCAATCTTGGCCTCTGTATAAGGATAATACCTCTTTTTTTAATGCTGTTTCTGAATGCTCCTAAGATACTAAGAACAGAGCTAAAAATGTTCACAATTGAATCTTATCATCCCGGCTTAATGAAAAAACTTAATATAACCAAAAATTGCATCAGGGATACTATGTTTAAAATTGGGTTTTGGGGGTTCTCTAAGGTTTCTGAGTAAGTTTGCCAGTGGTAAACTTCTTGTTCTACTATCCTAGGACACAGCTTCACGCTTATAGGAAGTAGAATTGTTCTACCTAGTACCCAAACGGCAAAGGCTTCAAGAATCAGTAATCAAAGTTTGGAAACTACAAGTTTATTTCTTTATGATAGAAGTTTAATTCCCATTTGCAAAAAAATACTTATCTTGCCCCTGGCAATGCTGAGCTCACTCATTACAACAATAACAACAACAAATACCTCCTCTCCTATTTTCTTTAAATGATTTTATAATTTCATACTATATCACTGATAGTGGAAGTTAGTAAAGAACACATGAAAAGGAATCATTCTTACGTCTGTGCCATACACACTCAATACAAGATAAAAGTTGGAAAATGATTTACTACTTTAACGACATTTTAGGCTTAAGGTAATCTCTAATTTGGGAAACCAATCAAAAATAATGTCCAGATTTGCCTTGTTAATTTTTAAAAAAGTTAGCCATACAAAAAGTCGTCCAGGAGCACGAAAACAAGAGCAGAGACACACAATTAAAACGCCGACATTCAACAGCACGTAGAGTGGCTCGAAACGGAAATATCTGGACAACCGGATGCGTGAATCTTATTAAAAATCTAGAAATTCCTTGAGTCTCCTCTTATTTGTGAACGGGATAGGGTTAGGGGACCAATAAACTACTTAGATCTGCCAAGGCCTTTGCTCTAACAAAGAGAAAAATTTACTTACGGTGACAAATCCGGATCAAAGAGACAAAAACCCCACGTCTGGGAACAACAACAAAAAGGCGTTAAGAAGCAACAAGTCCGGGGCTGCGGCCAGTACAGAGCTTTCTAGTTGTCAGTGGCTCTTTGGTTTGGAGGGCAAGCCTACCTCAGCGACAGCGCATGCGGAATGCTCGGCGCAAGCGCAGAGTAGCTACCTTGCTTCTCCAGCTTTAGGCTCCCTAATTTCTGGAAACACTTGTAATTGGAGTGTCCTCCTAAACTGTGAATAGGGTTTCTCTGCTTCTTGTAAAATTGAAAAGTACCTGTATTTTAAAATATTTACTCTGGATACAGGTGTATTCCTACCCATTCTTTACAGTTCATTCTTTGGTTTAGTATTATCACGGGGAAGCTACTGTTTAACTTTCTTAAAAGGGCCAGGATGACTCCCCTTTCCCTCCTCCCCACAGTAAGCAAAACACCTTTATGCATGATTGTATTAGTGGCTTTATCTCTTTTACTTACTGTATACATCTTCAGAAAAAATCAATCTCCATAATAGTCTATGTGTTTCCTACTGCCAAAGGGGCCCTTTAGAGTAGTGAGAGAAGATCTTCACCCTGAAACCCACAGCGTCCCTTTTCAGCAGGAAGTAGCTAAGAGAATACGCCATCCCCTTTTCCTTATGACTCAGGGTGAAGTCTCTCTCAGGGAGGAGTGATAGGGAATGGCAAAGGACACACTGACAAAGAAGATTAATCAGAACTGGCTTTGACAAGCACTGTGGCATTTGGACAAGAACAAACTGGGAGGAGGGTAGAGAGAATAGTGCAACAATGAATGAGTGGAAGCCCAAAATCTCTGTAAATGTTTATGAAAATTAATAAAATATAATTATAGAAAAAAAAATGTGTGAGAACCAGAAGTTCATTGGTAAGAAAAAGGATGAAGGTTCTAGAGCCCCTTGGAAGAAAAGACATAAACAGTGGTTGAAAAATCACCCACGGAAATGCTATGAAGTAAACACTTTATTTGTTGAAATCATTTTATGTAATTTCAAACACTAGGTGACCTGTTGTTATGAGCCATTGAGTTGCGTGTGACTCAGTACAATAGCTCTGAACTCTGCCCTATCCTAAGCCAGTCTCACTGACACACCTACCCACATTACCCATTACTGTGTCAGTCCATCTCACTCGGGGCCTTACTCTCTCACGCTGTCTCTCCACTCGTCCAAATATGTTGTTTTTCCCCAAGGAGTAGTTCTTCCTGGCCACATGGCAGTATGTGAGACAAAGCTTCAAAATCCTTGCCTCCAAGGAGAAATTTGGTTTCACCCTCATTAAGACAGATCTGTTGTTTGTCTTGGCCGCCCATGGTATGTTCAATATTTTTCTCCAGCACCACAACTAAAAGGCATAGATTCTTCTTTTGCCATCCTTATTCATTGTCCAGCTCTCTGATGCATAGCAAGAAATTGCAAAGACCACAGCCAGGATCAGTTGCAAATCAATATACTTACTGATCACACTTGAGATTGATGACCCCGTAGCAATTTTTTTTTCTTTCACCATAGCACTTTAAAAAACAAAAAACAAATACAAAAAAACAAAGCCAGGACAGGTTAGAAAGCTGCACTGTAATAGCGAAGGCACGCGGTTCTAATCCACCAGAGGGAGGATGGGAAATCTGTGCCAGTCGGATCTGACTCGATGGTACATACCACACACACACACACACACACAGACACACTACTTCCTGGAAGAAGGAAGGAAGGAAGGAAGGAAGGAAGCAAGGAAGGAAGGAAGGACAAGTCAGAAGCATTCTTCTCCAGGACTTTGCCTGCAGTTAATCCTCCGAAAATTACTCTTTCTGACCTCATGGGTCTTGGCAATGAGTTTTGGTTCTTTAGAGCGTTGGAAAAAAGCTTTGAATTTTTATCGTAGTGCCGAACTTTGAGCAAAAAGGAGCTTTGGCGGCATAGTTCGTAGGGAGTTGCGCTGCTAACTCAAAGAGGGAGCTTTTCTTTTCTTTCTTTTTTTTAATGTGTGTACCGTCAAATTGGATCTGCCTGGTACAGGAGGCGATTATTCCTCCTTCTTCAGCAGAGCATCTGGTGGACTTGAACCGCTCACTTCTGGGATTGCAGTGCAGTTTCCTGCCACTAGGCCACCAGAGCTTGCCTGTTTTTTGTTTTTTTTTTTTTTTAAAGAGGGAGCTTTTCTGAAGTTCAAATAAACCAAAAAAAAAAAAAAGAAAGAAAGAGAGAGAGAAAAGGGCAATTTACCCCTGATTGACGGTCTTGGAAACCTACTGGAAGGTATCACAGCAGTGACAGTATTCAAGGTATAGTTAAAGTCCATCCTTTTATAGCTGGTCTTGTCAGTGTGTGCACGAGGTAGATAGTCGACGACAAAGGCATAAAATAAAGGCAATAACAACCCCCCCGCCCCTGCCCGGCACTAAAGAGTATTGCACTGGGTAAGTCTGTCGTCAGGGACCTCTCCAAACTATTGAGGAGCAACCATGTCAGTTAGAAGACTAACGTGTACCTGATTCAGGCAACAGTCTTTTCAGTCATTTGCTATGAATCTGATAGCTGGACAATGAATGAGGATAACAGAAGAAAAAAACTGATGCTTTTGAATGTGAAAGTGGTGTTGGAGAAGAGTACTGAACATCTTGGACTCTCAAAAGAACAAACAGATGTATCTTGGAAAAGATGCTCCCTGGAGACAAAGATGACAAAGCGTTGTCTCACATACTTTGGGCATATTGTTAGAAAGGCTATTCTTTGTTAAGGTGCATCATGCTTGGAAAGGTGGAGGGGTCGTTGAGGAAGAGAAAGAGCAGGTGGACTGACAAAGTGATTGCAACAATGGGTTTGACTGGGTCAGATTTCTGTGAGGATGACACAGTATAGAGTAGGCTTCAGATTTGTTGTTCATGCAGTCTCTAGGATTAGTACTTGACTTGACGGCACTTGACAACAAAAACAACATTAAAAACTAAGGCATCTTGATTAGCATACAAACCCTCCCTCCAGGAGCAAATCTATCTCCGGATAGTATGTGGCTCAGCGCTGAGTTCCACCCGGAAACTTATCTCCGCGTTCTCCCAGCCCCTTCCGCCCGCCTCGCGCGTGCGCTCTGGGGATCCCAAAGGTCCTGGGATTCCTACTCCACTTGCCTGGGACTGACCTGCAGCTGGGCGCTCTGGGGAGTACCAAGATCGTCCAGCCATGCGTTGGGGGCTGCGCCCTCGCGGACCCGGGGCGGCAGCGTTGGCTGCGGCCCGGAATCTCTGGGGCCTGCCCCGATTTCCCTGTCGCCCAGGGTGGCGCGGAACGACCTGGAGGCTCCAGGGGCGGTCAGTCGCCGGGGCTAGTAGTCAGTTACCGAACTCGAATAGCAACAAATACCGGGACACGGTGTTGCTGCCTCAGACCAGCTTCCCCATGAAGCTGCTGGGCCGTCAGCAGCCCGACACAGAGCTGGAGATCCAGCAGGTTCGGGCCCACCCTGGCGCGTCGCGGGCTGTGGTAGGGAGCCGGGCGGGCCTTGAATCGGAGGCTGCGTTTAGCACTCGCGGCAGAGGAGCCTGGGAGCCGCCCCCCTTGCTTCAGACTTAGAAGGGCAGGTGACGGGATGGGTTGGGCACTGGCTCTAGGTCCCTAAGTCGTTTTGTTTTACTAGATAAATGGAGCTCCTGAGCTTCCCAAAGATTCAGTCCGCTGAAAATAAACGTGCAGAAATTTCCAGAGAAGTAGCAGGTTTCTCTGGAACAGAATGCTAAGGGAGAAATTAACAGTGCTTCGTATCAGTAAGTAACGAGTACAGGTACTACCATTTCTAGCGTGAACAAGAGAAGGCGAATCCAGACTTTTCTGGTAGCTAGTAAAAAGTTAATTAACACGCACACAAATAAATAAGAATGCAGTTAGAAGGAATAATGGAAAAGGGAGGTCTATCCTTGGATCAGTAGGTGCCTGTTTCGTGACTGAAGGAGAGCAGCATGCGTCTTCTGAATCTCTCTCTTAGACCGTGCATGCGTCTGTCTCTTGTTAAACTGAGCTTTCCAAGATCTGTAAAATGTTTGGGTAATTTTAGAGTCTTCAAAAACAGGTGATATTTTGGAAATGCTGGTTGCATAAATTTATTCGGCTTAAATATTCTTTTAACAGCAGACTGAGACTCACTCATTTTAGCCACTTTTTAAAACATTGCTTTATCCCAGAAATCTTGATACTTTTAAATGTTTTATTAATTAATTAATTAGTTTTTGAGTGTTGTCCTCCTGAAGAGGAAAGACTAATGAGGGCACACTGCCCAAGGTCATACAGTCAATGAGAGTAGAGACTGCAAGGAGTGTTGTTCCAGATTTAGGGAGCAGTTGACCTCACAAGATTTTTGGGGATAGTAGTTATTGTCAAGGTGGTACCTGAACCTATTGGACCTCCAGCTCCATGTTAGGTTGCTGATCTGAGCAGCAGCACCTGTCAACTTGAGAACAACCAGCAACAACAACTAAAAACCTTGTAAGGTCCTGTGTCGCAACCACAACAAAAGTGTACTCTCAAGGTGATAGTAGAAGCTATTGGAAGTTTTTGAAAGGAGCATTCCCAGATATGAATAATAGATTGGAATGGGGTGAAAAGGATACATGTGTTGGCTGTTTATGGTGACTTTTAGTAATACGTCTTTATATTCAGAGATTGTTTTTGGTTCCTTTTAAACAGAAATGTGGATTTTCAGAACTTTACTCATGGCAAAGAGAAAGAAAGGTCAAGACAGAATTTTATCTTCATGATGGACCTCCTTATGCAAATGGTGAAGCTCATGTTGGGCATGCTTTAAATAAGGTAATTATCACTTTTAATCTGGTTTTAAGATTTGAGAGAAAAATATGTATTACAATAGGCGTTTGATTAAGAACGAATCCTAATTGTATAACTGTAATTTTCATTAGCACATTAAATGGAACTCTTAATAGCAGTTGTGTTATTGTTAGATACCTTCAAGTCAACTGTAACTCATTGCAACCCAATGAACAAGACACTGGAACCTTGTCCTATCCTGCACCATCCTCACCATCTCTGATAAGCTTAAGCACATTGTTACAATCACTGCATTTCATTAAGCCCTCTCTTTTGCTTCTATCTTAACAAGCATGATAGCCTTCTCTAAGGACTGGCCTCTCCTGATAACATGCCCGAAGTAAAGAGGACTAAATTTCACCATTTAAGTCTCTTGTAAAAAGAGCAAAGACTGTTTGGGGACAGTCATATTGGACCTTTACCAGCTTCATAGAGCCCTTCCATAGCATCAGTAACACAAAAACAATTCCCATGAGGTCAAACATGTCCTCCATGCTCCCATCTCTCTTTCTACTCTTAACACCAATCTTACTGCTTTGCTGGGTTCAAGATCTTATGTGGTAGCTCACAGACCACACAGAACCATGTTAGAGAAGTCACAAATTTCTAATCCAGGTTAGAAGTAGAATACAGTCAGACAGCTCCCAAAATGTGCTCACAGGCAACTCAGCCTTGAACCTTTAGGCCAGTGTTACAGAGTCATCAGTCTTGAGAATTATGGCCCTCACCCCCAGTGTCCAACAAACTTGGGCTTTTAATTCTGATTCAAACTGTATAGCAGTCCCAAGATTGCATCAATAGTGGAGGTCTTATTTTGTGCCAATGCCTTCAGTGTACTTTGTACTACTTCCTTCCTTGGTTCTTGCTCGTAGACTACTTCCTGAAATGGTTCCATGTTTACCACTTCTTTTTGATGCAGGGAATCTGAGTAAACTCTAAGACAGGGTATACTGCCCCATAGGGTTTCCAAGGCTGTAAATATTTACTTAAAAAGACTGCCACAGCTTTCTCCTTTAGAGTTGCCGATGAGTTTGAATTGCTGACCTTTTAGTGAGCAACTTAGAGCTCTGAACTATTGCACTTTAATCACAGGACCCTTTAGTGTTAAGTACACTATGGATGAAAATGAAATAGAGGAGAGGAATAAGGATGATCAGTTGAAGAAATGACAGTTTTGTTTACTTGTTCTGGGAAAGCCTCCTTCTCTGACAAGGTGAATTTTGTGTAAAGTCATCAAGAAAGGAAGAAAGTAAACCTTGAATCATTTGGGATGAGAAAAGCATGTGGGAAGAACTTCAGATGAGAGTTTCCCTGTTGCATTTGAACAGTAGTAAGGAAGTCAGTGTGAGTAAGGAAGAGACTTATATGAGGCTAAAGATTTAAAATTCATTTGAGGTGTAATAGGGGAGCCATTGGAGGATGCTGAGCAGAGTTCATCATTTGACATATGTTTCCATTGGGGTTTTTCTATGTCAGTGCACGTGGAAAAAAACCAGTGAGGCAATTAATGTAGTAATTCAGAAGAGAGATCATGATGACTTGGATGAAAATTAAAACTTTAAGCAATGCAAAAAAAGGTCATATTCTGAGTTTAGTTTGAAAGTAAGCTGACAGAAGTTATTAATGAATTCGATGCAAAGTGTAAAAGAAAAAGTTAAGGATGCGCTCCAGGATTTTATCCTGAGCACTTGACAAAGTGGATGTACTTTAGATGAGCAGGACTCTGGAGGCTTGTGGTCAGGAGATCATTTCTGGGCATGTTAACTTTGAGATGTGATTAGACATTCATATGGAGACATTCATATGGAGTAGTAAGTGTCCTAGTTTAAACTAGACATAAACTGAGGTCAGTGTGTATTGCCCAGTGTTGGTTTGTTTTGGGGATGTCACTGCTAGCTTTATTTTAAATAGTAGATTTTGACAAAGAACTTCAGGTTCTCATTTAAGAGAACTTATTTGGTTCATCTGAGTGCTGTATAGACTTTCTCGCTTTAGTTGTGCTTTATTTATGATTATGTTGAAAGAATAGTAATTAAGCAGTCTACTTTGCAGGAGGAAAAAATTCTTATTGCAGGCTATTGATCAATTATTTTTCTTTACTGGCATTTCTCATATTTACTGAGTGAATAAAAAAATTCTTTTGTTACTTTTTTTCATTTTTTAAAATTTTTATTGTATTACTTTTACGTGTACCGTCAAATCAGATCTGACTGGTACAGGAGGAGATTGCCCCCTCCTTCTCCAGCAGAGCATCTGGTGGATTTGAACCATGTGCCTCTGGGATTACAGTGCAGTGTCTTGCCCCTAGGCCACCACAGCTCCCTATCTTTTGTTACTTTTATTGAATTTTTAAGTGCATCTAATGCCAAGGGGAAAACAAGACTTTTCTTAAAGAAATATTAAAAAAGGACCCTCTTTTGGGGTAAGTAATTGCTTTTTTCCACAGTCTTGATTTTTTGTGAAACAGAACTTTTGTTTCTTGATCTTAGAGCTTTTTTAAAGGTTAGAAAATACCTTACATTTTCAGTTCCAGCTGTGGTGTCCTAGTGGGTAGGGAGTCATGCTGCTAACCCAAGGGCAAGTGCTTCTAATCCAACAGCTACTCTGCAGGAGGAAGATGGACAATCTCCTCTCCTCCTATAAGACGTACAGCCTCTAAAACTGCACAGGAGCATCAGCAACAAGTTGATTCTGACTCTGTGGCAATGAATTTGAGGTGGGTTTTTTAAATTTCATAGAAAGATTGGTGGTTCAAATTCACCAGTCCCTCTATGAGAGAAAGATGAAGCAGTTTCCTCCAGTGAACATTTATAGCCTTTGAAAACCTGGCAGGGAATCAGCTATGAGTTGGACAGAGAGGCGTATCTATCTGGTCAGGTATTTTTCTTCTATCTTACTTACTGAAGCATTTGGATAAGACGGTGATGCTCCTTGACATGCTACCTCTTTCATCACTATTCACACATAAGGTGTGCTTTTTTTTCTTGTGTTCTTTCATCATGGATACTTTTCCGTATTTATAATAGATGCGCTTAAGCATTTCCATAAATTAGACCTTGTTTTTCTGTTTAAAATAAAAGGTGAAGAGATGCACAGTATTGGCTCATACTTTTAAAGCCAATGTACAAGTGTGTCATTTCATTATATCTATTTATTTGACATTTTGAAGAAGAAAGATATTTAAATAACAAGTAACTTAGTATTTATATATTAAAAAACAAATGATATAAAATACAAAACTCCTTTGAATTTTAAAGAAGTTAAAGATATTTTCAAGTACAAGCTTGCTTTGAGTCTTACTCTCATATTCTCTTTTTCTCCTGCTCACTGCAGCCTAGAAGAGTAACCTGTTGTTGTAGGAGAATATGTGTATGAAAATAGGGAGCTTTTACCAGAGTATAAATTAGTTTTACTGCTCATTAATACTTTATTAGTTCAGTTGAGGTTATTTTTACAGTTAGATTTTTTTTCCCTTATGTACCATCGAGTAGAATCTGACTGGCACAGGAGGAGATTGCTCCTCTCCAGCAGAGCATATGGTAGTTAGACCTTCTTGATGAAGGAAGCATGAGTTTATTTACATTGTGATACAAAACATCTTGATGTGGACTAGCATTTTTAGGATTTAAAGAACTCAAACTTACTGCCATCAAGTAAGTACTGACTCATCCTGGTCTTCCAATGGATTTTGGAGCTGTAAAATGTTTGTTTGTTGTTTTTTTTTTAACTGTAAATCTTAAGGGAACAGATTGCCCGGTTTTCTCCCTCAGAGCTGCTGGTAGATTTTTATGACCACAATGGCGCCCCCTTTGGGTTAGCACTTTTTGGGTTAGCAATACAATTACAGTACCAGGGCTGAATTAACATATTAGCTCAATGTCTATTTTGTTTTTGTTTTTGTTTTCTTTTTAAAATTTGAAACATGAAATACAGTTAAAAACACAGGTCTGAGGCTTTTGAGTAATGACCCCTGATAATTGTATTAGCAATGAGTTTAAGAGGAGGGGGAGTGTATGTGTTTTAAAATAATTTTCTTGTAATTATTTGTCTCCAAATGTAAGGTATGAAAGATATTTCTATTTAGTGTTATTTTCATGTATTTTTGAAGTCAGTTTTCCATTTTAATTCCAATCAATGAGTATTTTGGATTGTATTATTTTCCAGCTTTTGATCTATTCAGAAATTTCATACATACTCATCTGTGTCTGGTGTGTTTGATTTTGTGCAGTGTTATGTTGTTGTTGTTATGTGCCTTCAAATCGCTTGCAACTTCATTGCAACTCTGTACAACATCCCTAAACTCTGTTCTATCCTGTGTTAATCTTTTTGTCTCTGATATACCTACTCCTATTTTCCCAGTCACTAAATCAATTGATCTCAATGATGGTCTTCCTCTTGCTGTCCTTCCACCCTCTCAAGCATAATGTCCCTCTCCAAGAACTGGCCCCTCCTTGCAATATGTTCAGAGTATGTCAAATGAAGCTTCAGAATCCATGCCTCCAAGGAGCAGCCTTGTCTCACCCTTTTTAGGACAAATCTGTTTTCCCAGCAGTCCATGGTATATCCAACACTTTTCTTCAGCACCACAGCTCAAAGGCATCAATTCTCATTCTGTCATTCCTGGTGATTGTCCAGCTCTCTGATGCATAGCAAGTAATTGCAAAGACTATGGCCTGCATCAGGCGCACCTTAGTCTCCAGCAATATGTTATAGATATGAATAATTCATTATTTTTCTTAATTTTTTTTTCCAATTTATGCTGATTATTTACAAAATTCATTGTTTTTCACACTGGATCTTCCCCATTTCCTTCACCACCTCCCATCAAATTGTATCACTGTGATTAACACCTACCCCTACCCCGCCCATCCTCACCCCTCTGCTTCTACCCTCCCCCACTTAGATCTTCATTATCATTCTGCAACAGTGGTTTTATACAGTATTTATCCTCATGGGACTGCATTAGTTCACTCAGCATAATGCTCTCCAATCCCTCCCAAGTTAGGTAGTAATTTACAAAATCAGTGCTCCTGTGTGCTGCATAGTATTCCATTGTGTTAATGTATCATAATTTCTCAATCCATTCCATTGTATTTGGACATTTAGGCTGTTTCCATGTTCTTGTGATAGTGAATAATGCTGCTATGAACATTGGTGTACATGCCATAGACTAGGCCTTCTAAGCTTGACCCCAGTTTGTCTTTTACGAACTTTATGATTTTGAGCTTTCCTCCCAGTTCTCTGATCCACCTTGAATTGATTTTTGTGTATGTTGTGAGATGTGGATCCTATTTCAGCTTTCTGCAGGTAACTGTCCAGTTTTCAGCACCATTGATTGAAGAGGTTGTCATTTCCCCATCTTATAGGTTTTATTTCCTTGTTGAATATCAATTGACATGGGGTAGCTGGGTCTAGTTCTGGGTTCTCAATTCTGTTCCATTGATCTATATGCCTGTCATTGTACCAGTACCAGGCTGTTTTGGTTACTACCACTGTGGAATAGGTTTTGAGATCAGGGAGGAATAATTATTTATTATTTTTTTAAAAATTGAGATTTTAATTAACGTTTATAGAGAATTTGGTTTTCCATTCATCCAGTGTTGCACATTTTCCTCCCTCCCTCCCATCCCAGTTCACTTTTTTCTTTGAAAAAAATTTCTTTCATTGTTGTACAATTCCCTCCTCACCCCCAGTCCACTTTGCTGTGCAGCTCTTATTCTGGATTGTTGTCTTGAAAATAATACTTAATCATATATTCCTTTTAAACAGTTCTTTCTCTCATCTGTTTCAAGGCAGTATATATTATCCATCCCCTTTTTTTAGTTTTCCCCAACCCCCATGTTAGTCTTGTTTTGTAACAGTGGCATTATGTAGCATTGGTCCCTTTGTGACTGAGATATTTCACTCAGCATAAGGTCCTCCAGGATTACCTATTTTGTATAATATTTTATGAGTTCCTTGTTTTTCAGTGCTGCATAGTATTCGTTTGTCTGAATATACCACAGTTTCTCTATCCATTCTTTTGTTAATGAGAATTTTGGTTGTTTCCATCTGTTTGCTATTGTGAACAATGCAGCAATAAACGTGGGTGTACATATATATATATATATTCGGGTGGCAGTTCTGGTTTCTTTAGGGTATATTTCCAGTAGTGGAATTGCCCGGTCAAATGGTATTTCAGTTTCCAACTTTTTTTTTTAAATTTTTTTTTTTTTTAGTTTCCAACTTTTTGAGAAAGTGCCAGACTGCCTTGCATAGTGGTTGCACAATTTTATACTCCCACCAACAGTGAATAAGAGTTCCTATTTCTCAACCTCGCCAGCATTTGTTGTTTGTTGCTCTGTTGAATTTTTCTATTGTTACTGGGGTGAGATGATATCTCATAGTTGTTTTGATTTGCATCTCTCTTAGAGCTAGGGATTTTGAGTATTCCTTAATGTGTTTATTTGACATCTGAATGTCTTCTTTGGTGAAGTGTTTGTTCATATCCTATTCCCATTTTGCAATTGGGTCGTTTATCTTGTTGTGGTGCTGGAGTACTCTATAAATTCTAGATATAAGTCCCTTATTAAATATGCCATTACCAAATATTTTTTCCCAGTCTGTGGGTCTCCTTTTTACTTTGTTGGAGAAGTTTTTTGATGTACATAGGGATTTGATTCTTAGAAGGTCCCATTCATCTATTTTATCTTCTCCTGGTTGGAAGTTTTTCAGGATGCTTGGAAGACTCTTCATGTTGTGTAATTCATTCTTTTTTAATTACTGAGTACTATTGTATGTACCAGCCCACAATTTGTTTATCCAGTCATTCTTCAGTTAATTAACTTTGTAATAGTTTGCAAAAAATTTTGAGAGGAAGTGACATTGATCATCTACCCATTTTCTCAAAGACTTGAGAATTTAGCCACTAAACATTCCAAAGTGTGTGAGGAGCACCTTGGTTGTGCCTTTTCTTAGTTATTTGACAGCCCATGGGATATTCAGTACTTTAACTCAAAGGCATCAGTTATTTTTCTGTCATCTTTATTCATTGACCAACTTTCAGATGCTTAACAAGTAACTAAAAAGTCAGTGGCTTGGATCAAGTGCATCTTAATCTTTAAACTGACATCATTGCTCTTTAAGACTTTCAAAGGTCTATGACGGCAGATTTTCCCAATGCAACAGATATTTTTATTTCTTGACTGCTGGTACCAAGAGTGTTGATTGTGGAAAAATTGAGATGAAATCATTGACAATTTCAGTCTTTTCTCCTCCATCTTTCACAATGCTGTATATTGGTCCAGTGGTGACGATTTTTGTTTTACTGATGTTGAGATGTATTCCATATTGAATGCTGTAGTCTTTAAATCTTCTACAGCAAGTATTTTAAGTCCTCCTCACTTTTCAGCAGGTTAGGTTATATCATTTGCATAATGCAGGTTGTGGGTTAATTTTCCTCCAGTCTTGCTGCTACTTTCTTCATCATAAAAATCTAGCTTCTTAAATGATTTTTTCAGCGTATATATTGAATAAATATGGAGAAATATAGCTCTGATGCACACTTGCCTGATTTTAAACCTTACATCTTTCCCTTGTTTTGTTTAGACAACAGCTTCTTGGTCTAGGTAACATTTTTTACAAGCACAGTTAACTACTCTGAGATTTCTAGTCTTCTCAATGTTAGCCCCAACTTCTTGTGATCCATACAGTTACATACCTTTGCCTAGTTAATAAAACGCAGTTTGAATGTGAGCATAAAACCACTTTAAAATACACCTTCAAAAATTAAATTGGAAGGAAAATTCATTAAATTACTATCAAATAGACATGTAAAAATAATACAATAAAAAATTTTAAAAAATTACTATCAAAAGCATGTATTGGTTATAAACCAGCATTTTTATTTCTTTTAGAAATAGTAACAAATGCCTTTTTTATCATCTAATATTCCTAATTTAATAATTAAAAATTTATCTTTCTCAGAGTGGTTAATGGGTTTGAATCACCAACATTTTGATTAGCAGATTAGTGCTTAAGTGTCTGTCATGAGGCTCTTTTTTTTTTTAAAGAAGCAGATGATACAGCTCTTGGGAGCAACAATTTAGAAAATGAATATATAACTTAAGAGAGACTGGAGGGCATTATGCTGAGTGAACTAACATAGGACCATTAGTGTAAAAACAGAAGGGTAACTAGTAAACCGTGTATGGGGATCTAAGGAGAGAAAGGGTAGGAAAAGAGAGGTGAGGGTGAGCAAGGGGGGGAATCAGAGAGTTGCTTTATTTGTTGGGTGGAAGGATAAGGGGGTAAAGGAAATGGGAAAGATCCAGTAGGCATCTGGGAAGATAGGGTAATGGTGTGCATGATTCAAAGGTGATTGATTTTATAAAACACAATGAAGGAGAATGATTATGTGACAAATAATATGAACGAAGGATAGTGTGAAACACAATGTATGAACTTAATATGCAAACCAATGGAAAATTAAAGAAATAACAAGACATTAGGTCTTAATAAAGCAGCTGGCTTAAAAAAAACCAGATGAAGTTAAAACCATAGCTATAGTAGCTTAACTTCAACATAACGATATGAAATTTTTTAAATTGTTCTGTGTATGTCTTTGAAATCTAGGCATATTTTTACACTGGGAACACATTTCAGTTTGGACTAGCCATGTTTCACTTGCTCAGTAGTCATTGATGGCTAGTGGCTACCATATAGGCATTGCAGTTCAGGGCATATTTGTATTCATTTAGTTTGTAAATATATATAGAATTGTGCCAGAGGAGAGACAAAATCTCTGATTTTATGGAGAATATTTTAATGAGAAGAGACAGATAATAAATAAAATGCTTTCAAACAGTGGAGATAAATGGGAAAATGGTTATTCTTTTGTTGTTTGATTTAAATATCTAAAATGAGTCATATATATCCTAAGTATATTTAAACTAGGTGAATTTTTTATATTGTCTTAACTCTGTCTAGATCAAGATATAAAACATTTTCGACATTCTAGAAAGAAACCTCTTGTTCTTTGTTACAGATTTTTAAATGAATGTTTTATTTTTCTTGGTAAATACGGAAATACAGGAAATATTGTAGTCTTTCTCCTAACTTTTGGTGTGATGGTTGTGTTGATAGGTGCTATTGAGTGGGCCAGCTCTTAGTGATACTGTAGACAACAGAACACACTGTGCCCAATCCTGTACCATCCTCATAATCTTGTGTGTGTTTGTAGTCATTGTCAGAGTTATAAATCAGAGCTGAGGCTGGCTCCTGACAACAACCAAGTCTGTAAGCAGCTCTGTTCTGTCAAAGGCATCGGACTCAATACAATAGCACATGATAGGTGTTTAGAAGGTCAAAAACATTTCATATAAAAATAATATGAGCTGCTTATTTACATCTGTCAACTTTATTAAAAAATTAGTATTTTTGATTGTAGTATTTTTCATCTTGGAGTTTCTTACTTGTTGGTGTTGACTAGGAGAGGGTTAATGTAATTTTAAAAAATTTAAATGACTTTGACCCCTTGTTTATGTAGAGCATTATTTAATGTTGTTGTTAAGTGCCATAGTCATAGACGGCTCATAGCAACCCTGTGAATGAAAGACCTGAACACTTGTATAACTTTCAACGTTTCTCCAAGTTCATAGAGTTTCTGGAGGCAAGCTATTTTGAAAGTGGATGCCCTTCCTACTTCTAAGCTTGTTTTAATCAGGGAGCTCCACCAAACACTGTCCACCATTGGTAACCATTATCACGTTAGACAGATCAGTGTCACAGTGTTCAGCATCATAGCAACCACGAGTTACCTCTGTACAGCAAATGGACAGACCAGTGCTAGGTTATTTTATATAGATTCTTTTAAAAATATGGCTTCTTAAGCATTTCCAAATGGCATCAGATGAAGAAAGGAATAGATATTGTAGATTACATGTTTCATGATTTTTATCATTTATTTTTGCAGATTTTGAAAGATATAACCAACCGATATCATATGATGAAAGGTTCCAAAGTACATTTTGTGCCAGGTTGGGATTGTCACGGCTTACCCATAGAGATAAAAGTATTATCTGAACTTGGTGAAAAAGCTCAGAAACTCTCAGTTGTGGAAATAAGAGAGAAAGGTAAAGAAGATCTATTTCTACTTTTAAATGATGTTTGAAAACACGTGTTCATGGTTAGTCAGAACTTTATCAAAGTGATCTCCCTTTTTAAAATAATAAGATCTAGTGGAAAATAGCATTGTGGTCATAGAAAATTCAGATTTATTGAATTGAATTTTGTTAAGGAAGTATGCCTGGAATTTGAAGGAATAATGTAGGCCCTTCAAGGATATTTTTCATTTTCAGTTCTTCTTTAATATGAAATGATTATTTTGGTAAATGTTTTTATTTTTTTTGATATAGTAAGGGATGCCACAGAGAATTGTGCTGCTAAATCAAAGATGGCTCTACTCTGCCAGTTCATATCCCCCAGTGACTCCATGGGAGGAAAAATGGACATTTTTAAATTATAATAAATGCTGACTCAACAGCAATGAAAGGGAGAAAAACTAAATTCTAATATATACATATTTTTCTCAATCTTATACTTAGTCTTTTCCTTTAGTAAATTAGGTCAGAGAGAAATCTCCTTGTATATTATATTTCATATTGTATTTCATATTATATATTATTATGAAGATCTTTTAATTCCTTATGAAACATAATTATATAGTCTTTGATGAAATATACTGATTAGTTTTCATTGTTTATAATGAAGTGAGGAAATTTTTTGTGAGGAATTTTCTAAATGTAAATTTTAACTACTAATATTCCAACTGATTTATAAATTTATTTTTATATCTTCTGAGTATCTTTCAAGATAATTTCCCTTTTATACATTTTTATAGTTGGAACAATATAACACGTGTTTGTAGAAAGGTACATCCGAAACCATTTTTGAGAATTTGAGGTAATTTGTTTTCAAAAGCATTTTTACCCTTTTTTTTTTTTTAAAGCCAGAGCATTTGCAAAAGCAGCCATTGAGAAACAGAAATCAGCATTTACTCGTTGGGGAATAATGGCAGATTGGAATAATTGCTACTATACATTTGATAAAAAATATGAGGCCAAACAGTTGAGACTTTTCTATGACATGTATGAGAAGGTAATGTATTTTTCCCCCTTTTAGCATGCTAATTGATGTGGTATAAAATTCCACCTTGAATATATTATAAATTATAAACTAATACATCTTTGTTGTTTTAGGGATTGGTTTATCGAGATTACAAACCTGTATTTTGGTCTCCCTCATCAAGGTATTATATGTGCTTCCGGTAATTGGAGGGGAGAAACGTATAGAGCTTCTGAGTATTTATGGCTGATGTTTTTAAACCTTAGGACTGCTTTAGCTGAAGCAGAACTTGAGTACAATCCTGATCATGTCAGTCGTTCTATATATGTAAAATTTCCTGTTTTGAAACCACCTCCTGGATTGGCATCTCTTTTAGGTAAGATTTATTTATGGCTAGATTTTATAAAAGTTATTGAATTATAGCATTTGCTAGCCTATTTTCCAATTATTTTTAATAGATGGCTCATCTCCGGTTAATGTCTTAGTCTGGACTACACAGCCTTGGACAATTCCAGCCAACCAGGCTATTTGTTTTATGCCAGAGGCAAAGTAGGTATAGTATTGTATATATTTTTTTTTAATTTTTAAAAATTGTTATTTTAACCAAAGTTTACAGAAAGGTTGGGCTTTCATTCATTCATTATTGCACTGTTTCTTCCTCCCCATCCCTGAGTCCACTTTACAAGGCATATCTTAATTCAGATTGTTATCATGCATAAAATGACTCATCTTATATTCCTTTCAGACAGTCCTCCCCTCATGTGTTCCAATGCAGTGTTCATGATCCATCTGCTCTTCCTATTCTTTCACCATCACCCCCACGTGTCACAACACAGACAGCAGTCACAACACTGAGTAGGTTTTAGTTCACTGCTTTTCTGAACGTGGCGAATATAAAAAAAAAACCACAAAAACAACAGACACAGGCTCTATCTTTCTAGGTTATATTTTATATTGATTAAACAGAAGAAGAATAAATCTTAATTGTGATAGAAACGTAAAAAGAAATGAACCTTTACAATGACACAATGGAGAAAACTTCAAAACCATGTCAAAGTAGTGACAGCAGTGTTACGCAGTATTTGTCCTTTTGTGACCGAGATATTTCACTCAGATAAATGTCCTTGAGTGTCACCCATTTTGTATAATATTTTGAGTTCCTTGTTTTTCAGTGGTGCATAATATTCCATTGTGTGAATATACCACAGCTTCTCTATCCAGGTTTACTCATGTTGTGTTTTAGGAGTTCATTGTTTTTCAGTGCTGCATAATAATCCATTTTTTAAATGTATCATAATTTTTCTATCCATTTGTTGGTGGGCAATTGGGCAGCTTCCATCTCTTTAAAACATGGGTGTAAACATGGTAAACATGGTAAACATGGGTGTGCATGCATCTGTTTGAGTTGTGTTTTCTTTAGGATATATTCCCTGTACTGGAATTGCTGGGTCAAATGTTATTTCTGTTTTCAACTTTGATAAAATGCCAGGCCACCTTCCATTATGTCTGTACCATTTTACATTGCCACCAGCAGTGAATAAGAGTTCCAATCTCTCCAAAAGCTTGCCAGCATTTGTTGTTAGTTGCCCTGTTGAACTTTGCTGTTACTGCTGGGGTAAGATGGTATCTCATAGTTGTTTTGATTTGTGTGTGAGTTCAGATATATGAGCCATTCTATTATTAGTGTTGTTTGAAATTAATTTCATTCTCATACTCCTTGCTGGTGTATACGTTAAGTTTAATGGCTAACAATCTGGATTTTATGTCTATGGATTTTATAAATTGTATGTTATTCCTTTACCATATTTTTAGGAAAAACTAAACAAGCAAAAGTCCTCTAATTTTTGCCTTTTTTCATCATTAAATGTAATCTTATGTAATTTTATTTTAGATATTCCATTGTGAAATGTTCCAGTTCTGGTGATGTCTACATTTTGGCAGAGGACAAAATAACATCTGTTGCTTCTGCATTGGGAACAAAATTTGAGGTTATTTCAACATTTTTAGGTAAAATTTATAGTTAGTCTAATCTTCCTAATAATCACAATATTGAGTAGGTTTGAGTTTATTGCTATTTTAAAACTTTGTGAATGAGAAAAAAAACCCAATAGGCTCTGTTTTTCTAGATTATGTTTTATATTGATTAAACAGAAGAAGACTATGTATTAATTATGATAGGAATATATAAAGAAATGAACCGTTATGATGACACAATGTAGAAAACCCCGAAACCATTCCAACAAATATTTGACACCTATTTTTAAAAATTATGCAAAATTAGGCTTGCTTGGTGGCCTAGTGGCAAGAAGGTGCACTGCAATCCCAGAGGTGCAAGGTTCAAATCCACCAGATGCTTTGCTGGAGAAGGAGGAACAATCTCCTCCTGTACCAGTCAAATCTGATTTGACGGTACACACACACACACACACACACACACACACACACAATTACAAAAAGAAATTATGCAAAATTAAATTTTTAGTCATTGTTTTATCTATAAAAAAAGATATATTTGAAGAAATAGTCATGATTTTAATAAGTAAATTGAGTAGATTATAAAAATAGTCACAGATTAATTCTATTAAGAGAATTCTTGATAAACTATAGTCTGAGACTTTTAAAGTAGTGACTCTTATTCAAATAAAATTCTAAAAGTCTCAGAAATTTCACTTTACATCAGTTTCAAGTTATTTAGATTCTCCATTGGGCTATAGCCTGTTGTTGCTGGTGTTAGCCGCTGTCAGCTCAGTCTCCGATGCTTGTAACCGTATGTGTTATAGAGTAGCTCTGACCTCTAGGAGTTTTTCTTGGCTGTAATCATAGCTGTATATAAATTAGAGAAATTTTCTTAGGCTTACCTAACTTATTTGCTCTCTTGAGTTAATTATATTTTTAAAAAAATCATTTATTTTGTGATTGGTATTGTGATAAAGTGTTCAAAACACTTAAAAGAAATAAACTTATTTTATCCTCACAGCAATCCTCTGAAGGTCAAATCAGCTCAGACACATAGTTATCTTGTGAATACCAGGTTGAAGCTGTCCCCAGTCCTCTGCTATCCTTAAAATCTCTGCTGTACTTAACGTTCATTTTTGCAATCCCTGTGCCAATCTATGTCAGTGAGAGTCTTTCTTTCTAACCATGAGGTCTTTTACCAGACCTGACCCTTCCTGATAATATGCCCAAATTATATGAGATAAAGTTTCACCGTCCTTGCTTCTAAGGAGGACTCTGGCCACCATTGTTTCAGGGAAGATTTGTTTGTTCTTTTGTCAGCCCGTGGTATATTCAGTGTTACTCTTTACCAGTACCACAATTCAAAGACATCAATTTCTGATCTTCCTTGTTCAACTTTTACATGCATATGAAATAATTGAAAATATTATGGCTTAGGTTAGATGCACCTTAGTCTTTAAACTGACATCTTTTCCCTTTAGCACTTTAAATAAGTCCCTGACAGCACATATGCCTAATGCAATGCAATGATTTCTATTTGACTGTTTGACTGCTGCTTCCTTTCTGTTAGTTGTACATTCAAGTGAAAGGAAATCATAAGAACTTTAATTATGCCCTTTTTACACATTCATAAAAGTCACAGAGCAAGGTCAGATTTTATGCTTTTTACCCTCATAGTCTACTGCTACTTACTTTTAAAAAGGTAATTGAAAGAATTGCTATATAAAGTGGTTCCTAAATACTGATTTTATTTTTCCATAGGTGCAGCTTTGGAAAATGGTACTTGTACTCATCCCATCTTTTCTGATAAAGCTTCCCCTCTTTTACCTGCAAGTCATGTGACCATGACAAAAGGAACTGGATTGGTCCACACAGCCCCAGCTCATGGTATGGAAGATTACAGTGTAGCTTCTCAGCACAACTTGTCAATGGTACTAGCTTCTTTTTACCTTTTTAATAATTTTTGTAGTATTAAAGGGATAAATCCTAACATTTTTCTTTTCATAGGAGGCAGTAAGTTTTGTTCTCATATTTGTGAAATGCTTAGGTTTGTACAGTATCCTAAAGTCTCACTTCTCCAAATTAGCACAAAATCAACACAATGATAGAAGTGAAGTATATAAAATGGGACAGGGTGTGTTTGCATGGGTGTGATTAAGTGACATGGACTAGTGCCCTTTATTCTCTTAAAAATTTCCACTGGCTTGATTTTACTACATTCTTGAAGAGTTTTAAAGTTAAAGAGTGTTTTATAGTCTTTAACTTTTTCTGTCAATTTGAGTGAAAGTTTCCAGAGCAAATTAATTTTCTGTTCAGTCATTCATAACACAATTTGTTTTGACATAGACTACATGGTAACAACGCTTTTCTTACTGTCTTCCTATAATTCTCGTTCCATTCATCATTCTAGCCCCTCTCTTCCTGCCTTCTGAAATTTATCCCTGAGCCAGTAATGCCCTTTTGATCTTGTATCGTTGATTGTTTTAAGGACTACTTCTCTGTTATTACTGTTCATTTTATAGTTCTGTCTATATTTGGTTGAAAGTTGAGCCACAGGTGGATGAGTTCAGTTCCAGGTTTAGAGGCCATAGTCTTGAGGATGCTAGAAACCTCTCAGACCAGTAAGCCTGGGCATTTTCATAATTTTGTTCCACACTTTTCTCCAAGCATACCCAGGACCCTCTTAAAATCCTTTTCAGAGTGATCAGTTCTGGTAGTTGAGCACCATCTAGTTTTTTTGGTCTCTGACATGTAAAGTCACAGTCCATCAGTGGTCCATCAGTGTTCTAGACTTAATTATTTCTATCCAATGTGGATTTTCTTCCATCATCTTTGCCCTAAACAGGAAGAGACCCATAGTAGCATGTTAAGTATCTTTTTCCAAGCTTTTTGGACTCCAGTCACTAACTCAGGAAAGTAAGATATGAAACATTGTCTTTGTGGACTTACTGTGCAGTCTTGATGCATAGTATCTTGATCTTAATGTCCCGCAAGATTTTGGTCCTGAAGCCCTAAGACCAATGAGTGATTCATTACTTCACTGTTTGAGTATGGTTAAGAAGTTTACATAACTATTCTCTGTTGACTCTAATATCTGTGAGAATATCTTTATAGCATACTTACATACACATGCAGAAATATCACCTGCCAAATCTATGAGCTGATCACTGATCATATGTATAGTTCCTTTTACTCATTTATCTTTTTGTCTTGCCTGTCTGCCTGTGTATCCACTTAGCAATTAATGTTTCTTATTCATGATAATGCAGTATTGTATATATAGTATTTACCTTTATTTTCTGTAACTCTTGTGCTACCCTGTGTCTTCCTTCTTCAAAATATAGTAAAATTCTGATCACCCCATCGTGGCATGTTGTCTTTCTCATTATGCAATTTAGGGAGCTTCAGTGGCCTAGAGGATTGGGAGCTGCTAACTAGTTGCTTCATGGGAGAAAAATGGATAGTGACTTCCTATGTGATTAATAGCCTTTGAAAAGCCACTGGAAGGTCAGCTGTGAGTCCTTTCTGACTCAATAGCTATGGGCTATGAGAATGTGTTTTACCCAACTTGGTATTTGTTTATTATCTAATAACAAAATTTCTCCCTTGCCCTTCTATTCCTGGTGCGCTCAAAGAAGATTTCATTCTGCATGTAAGCTTGTCCTTAACATTGAATAATGATGGACATATACAATGTCCAAAAAGAATTTTTGTTTTTAAATGAAACTTTCCTCTGGATTTTTCTTTTTCTCTTTGAGCATTTTTTTATTATTATTTATTTTTAAAAATTTTATACTACTTTATTTACGAAGTTTGTATACATTGTTTTTCACACTGGATCTTTCCCATTTCCTTCACATCACCCCTATCAAATTGTGTGACCCTGTAATTAACACCCCCTCCCCACCCATTCTCACCCCTCGGTTCCTCTTCTTTTCCTCCTTGGATCCTTCATTCTATAATAATGGTCTTATACAGTATTTGTCCTTGTGGGACTGAGTTAGTTCAGTTAGCATAATGCTCTGCAGTCCCTCCCAAGTTAGGTAGTAATTTACAAAATCATTGTTTCTTCCTGCTGTGTAGTATTCCGCTGCGTGAATGTACCATCATTTCTCAGCTCATTCCATTGTGGTTGGACTGGGTCTGTTTGCATGTTCTTGCAGTGGTGAATAGCATTGCTATGAACATTGGGGTACAAGTCGCCATTTGTGCCCCAGTTCTCATTTTTTGGGGGTATATTTCAAGCAGTGGAAATAGCGGGGCCATGAGAAATTTTTGTGTTCAGCTTTTTGAGGAAATGCCAAACTGCCTTCCAAAGTGATGGCACCATCATACATTCCCACCAACGATTATAAGAGTTCCCATCTTGCCTCATCCTCTTCACCATTTATTACTTGCTGTCCTGTTAAACTTTACCTCATTGGGATTTTGATTTGTATCTCACTGCCAGTGATTTTTAGCATTTCTTCATGTGTCTTTTGGCCATCCAAATATCTTCCTCTGTGAAAATTCTTTCCATCTCTTTTGCCTGTTTTGAAATTGTATTATCAGTCCTTTTCTTGAGGAGACCCTGTAGGATTCTGTAACCTTTTATATGAGACCCTTATCTGAAACAGTACTGCCAAATGTTTTTCCCCCTAAAAAATTGTAGTAGGTTTTCTTAAAAAATGTCAGTAGGTTTTCTTTTCACTCTGTTGGAAAATGTTTTTTATATGCACAGGGATTTAATCTTTAGAAGGTTCCATTCATCAATTTTCTCCTCTCCAGATTGTGAATTTCTGGCTATATTTGGTAGTTATATTTGGTAGCTATGTTCTCTAGACTAGGCTACCTATGCTTGATTCCAGTTTGTTTCTGATGAGCTTTATGGTTTTGGCCCGTCTCTGGATTTTTTTTTTTTACATCTGTTATATTTTCATTATAGCTAACAGACAGTTTCATTGTCATCATTGTTCATTATTCCAGATCTGTTAATTAATATTAATATTCTTTATTAAATTTATGTTAAATTATTAATTATTAAATTACTGTTAATTAATAGAGACTATGGTGGTTGTTTTTTAGATAACTTACTTATACTTTTGTTATTAAATTTCATCTCCTTTGATATATTTTGCTTTTGGTAATGTAAATGTATTAAGTTGACAGTTTCTATTTTTGTTGACTGAATAATAATCACTTTTTCCACATTAAGAAGGACTAAGCTATTCTGAATTTTTTTAATCTTATTTTACCAACTATTGTGATAAGAGGAAATGACTTGATATTTTAATTATTAAAAATTAAACTTTGCAGGATTGTTTAGTGAATGAAGATGGGAATTTCACAGATGCTGCAGGTCCTGAGCTTCAAAACAAGACTGTCCTTGAAGAAGGAACTGATGCGGGTAGGTATTGTTATTTGTTGAAATCATCAATGTATGTATGTTTTGTAAAGTAGCCAGTGTGCTGTTGCTAGCTACTTCCCATCCTTCTAGTAAAACTAGAAATCTAAAATTAGAAATACTTTGTTTTGTCATGTAGTTTAAAATAGAATTTGAAGCTTGTCCATCTTTTACTTTAAAGCTGCTCTGTTACATTGAAGCAAATCAGGGTGGTAAACTGGAGAATAATGTTATTTTAGGGGCTGCAGAGATAATATTCAGTAGTATTATTTCTTTAGAAAATAGTGGCTAACTATTAGACATGAATCAGAATTCTCACATTCCTTTTCTAACTTTTGCAAATTACTGACCTATGTAATGTGGTCTGTGTACTTGGGGACTGTCTAACTTTGAATTGTTTTTCTGCCTTTGCTTTTTAGACATTGGGACCAGATTCTATGATATAGAGCTCCACTAGAAATAGGGCTAGCAAATTTCCACAGAGTTGGTATTTTAAGACTACAGAAGTCGGTTATTTGGTCATTCTGACATCTGTTAGTCTACAGTCCAAATATTGACAGGGCTGTGGTCCCTCCGAAGATTGAAGGGAGGTATCTTTTTTTTTATGTTTGGTTTTTTTTCTCATCTTCACAATTTCTGGTAGTTCTGGGTGGGCCTTGGCTTATAGCAGCATCACTCTGATCTCTACCACTGTTGTTACGTGGTCTTCATTTCTCTTGAATATCCTTTCCTGCTTCTTGCTCTAGTATATTATTAAAAGAGGACTCATTTTAATTATAACTTCATTCTAACTCAGTTACATTTCAAAGGCTATATTTCCAAATAAGGTCACAAGATTAAAGTTAATAAAAGGACTTGAGCATGTCTTTTTGGGGATACATTTCAGTCCATTATACCTGGTTTCTTAGGAATTTCCTCAAGACCATTTAAAGATTCATGGTCTGAAATACCATAATTTGAGTTTTAAATATAGAATTCTAAATAAAACCTATTAATTTTCTGTTGTAAGTGTAGAGTTCTGGGAATGGTGTAATTTGAAGGCTGATTAAGTTATATTGTTCTTGTTTTTTCTGCCAGCAGATTCCCAGATTATGCTTTTGATAACTAGAAAGTAGCTACTCTAAATGTCACTTATTCAAAGTCTGGATTTTGTACTCCCTGAGATTTTCAAATTATGTTAATATAATGGTTATTAATATCTTTTTTATTTTTTTAAGTTATAAAGATACTTCAGGCAGCAAAGAATTTGTTGAGAGAGGAAAAGTGGGTACACAGCTATCCCTATGACTGGAGGACTAAGAAACCAGTGGTTATTCGTGCCAGCAAACAGTGGTTTGTGAATATCATGGACATTAAACCCACTGCCAAGGTATAAAACACATTCTTTTAGAGGGTATAAGTTTGTCATTCTCTCAGTATGAAATGGTTGCATGTGAGGTTGTGATGGGTTTTCGCAAGTGAAAGGAATAGTTGCTGTTAATGATTTGCTTTCATAAAGGTGTGACATTCTAGATATGGAAGGACATTGAAATTTCATGTCTTCCATTACACATACGTGGAAAATGTGAGATTAATTTACTTGTTCAAATTCATAGAGTTAAAAGGTAGACTTTTCTGTTCAGTGTATTGAAATTAAGAATTATGAGAGAACTTTCTAATTGAGATTGCTTAAGGTAGAACTTCTATTTCCTCACCTGTATAAAAGGAGTAATAATGCCTACTCTATGGGTTAAGCAAATAAAAGCTCCCAGATAAGTGTCTAGGAGTAATGGGCATGTAAAAAACTTTTAAAAAACCTATTTGCCTCCTTAAGATTAAAATTGCAGTCCATTTGAAAAGTTATGGAATGTGCTGTTTTTAGGTGCCCTGCAGTTGGTAAGGAAACAGAACTCTGTTGTCTGTGAACAACAGACTGAAGCCTTGCCCTGTCCTGCACCTTCCTCACAATGAACTAGGGTTCATTGTCACAATCACTGTCAGTATCTCTTGTTGAGGATCTTCCTCTTTCATGAGTTGTCTTTCCCAGTGTGATGTCTTTTTCCAAGGACTGACCCCTCTGACAACAGCCCAGAGTACGTGAGACAAAGTTTCACCATGTTTTCCTTTAAGGAGCACCGTGGTTGCACTTTGTCTAAGACAGATTGTTTGTTATAAAATACAGTGAAATTTATTGAACTGACAATAAAGTTGGTTTTGTTCTTGTCCATGGTATATTCAATTCTCTTCTTCAACACCATAGTTCAAAGGCATTGATTCTTCTACAATCTTCCTTATTCATTATCCAATTTTCAGATGCAGAGGAAACAATTAAAAACCATTATTAGGTTCAAGTGCACCGACGTCTTTAAACTGGTATCTTTACTGTTTAACACTATGGAGAGGTCCTTGACAGCATATTTTCCCAATACAACTTACCTTTTTATTTCTTTTTTTAATAATAAAATGTTTTCTTAATTGTGATTTAATGAAAGTTTACAGAAAAGTTGAATTTTCATACATTCATTGTATATTTCCCCCCCTCTGTTACTCCTCTCCAGTTCACTTTCTTTTTTTCATATGTTAATTCATTGTTGCACAATTTCCTCTCCTCCCCCCTTCCACCCCTTCTTCTTTGCAATTTACTTCTTCTTCTGGACCATTGTCTTACATATAATGCCTAATCATATATTTCTTTTAAACAGTTCTTAACTTCACAAATATTTTAATACATTGTTCATTATGCATTCTTTTCCTATTTTCCTCCCAAGCCCTCATGTCAATCCTGCTTTATAACAGTGGTGTTATACAGTATTTGTCCTTTTGAGACTGAGATATTTCACTTAGCATACTGTCTTCCAGGATCACCCATGTTGTGTAATGTTTTACAAATTCATTATTTTTCAGTGCTGCATAATATTCCATTGTGTGAATGTTGCACAGATTTTCTATCCATTTGTTGATGGGCACTTGGATCGTTTCATCTCTTTGCTATTGTGAATAACAAAGCAGTAAACATGGGTATGCATATAACTGTTTGGATGGTGCTTCTAGTTTATTTAGGGTATCTTTTGATGTCTTGACTGCTACTACTGTGGGTGTTGGTTGGGATCCAAATAAAATAAAATGTTAACAACTTCAGTATTTTTTCCATCTTAATGTTGCCTAGTGGTCGTAGGTGAGGCTGTTTTTTTTTTTTCTTCTTGATGTTGAAATGTAATCTATATTGACACTGTAGCCTTTGATCTTCTTCAGTACATGTTTTAAGTCTTCTTTTTCTGGAAGCAAAGTTGTGTTATCTGCAAGTTGTTGATGAGTCTTCCTGATGCCACATTCTTCTTTATAGAGTCAGTCTTTTCAAATTATTTGTTCATTGTATAAATTAAATAGATATGAACAAAAGATACAACCTTATCATAAACCTTTCCTGATTTTAAAACATGCAGTGTTCCATTCCGATGACTACTTCTTGTCCTATGTATAGATTTTAAATGAACACGACTGATTGTTCTGGGATTACCATTCTTCTCAGTTTTAGCTATAATTTATAATCCATCTAGGTAAATGCCTTTGCATAGCCTATAGAAGTTGAGTAAACGTCTTTCTGGTATTTTTTACTTTCAGCCAAAATTTTTCTGATAACAGCAGTGATAGCCCCTTTTCTTTTTCTTTTTTTTTTTGATAGCCCCTTTTCCATCGCCTATTCAGCATTTAAGTTGAATTTTTGGAAGTTCCCCTTTGATGTGTTGTTCTAGTAATTTTTGAATGTTTTTTACCAAGATTGTATTTGCATATGATATTAATGACATTGTTTGATAATTTCTGCACTCTGTTGGATTACTTTTTTGGGGGATGGATCTTCCATTTAGTTGGCCAGGTAGCTGTCTTCCAAATTTCTTTGGCATAGACTAGTGTCATTTGGTGCTTCATTGGTACCTAGGGCTTGGGTTTTTGTTTTTTGTTTTTTGTTTTTTTTATTGGGAAAAACATATTGGGGGTACAAGGAGGTGAGGGTTGGGGGCAGAAGGGTGAGGATGGGCCAGGATGCAGTTGCAGAGCTGCACAGTTTGGTCA